CCTCTCTCGAGCTCTGCTCACCGTGGACTCGTCCTGTCGATTGACGGGGAAACCACATAAATCATCGTCTCATCTACTTTCCGCATTCATACAATTTTACACGGTATCATAGTAGTAATCGATTCAGCCTTAAATCGATTGTTCATTGTCACAATGGTGGAGACAGAGGATTCTTCCAGCAACGTCAAGAATGCCATCACTGGTACAGATGCGACGTCGACAATCCCCCTCTCTTCTCCGCTATTTCTTCATCCGTCTGAGAATCCCGACCAACTCTTCGGCAGCGACCTCCTGACCGATCTGAATTATGGAGAGTGGTCTGCGGACATGATGGAAACCCTCATTGCCAAAAATAAGAGGGCCTTTGTTGATGGATCATTGCCGCGTTTGGCGGCTGCAGCTGACCCGACTCTTCTGGATGCTTGGGACAGGTGCGATGCTACTGTGAAGGGATGGCTCAAAACTGCCATGAACAAGGAGGTACGCAACAGCGTGCGTGGCGCGAAGACTGCACGCGAAATCTGGTCAGATTTACAGCAAAGGTTTGGCACCAGCTCTGCTGGGCGTGCTTATGAACTTCGACGTTTGATTGGCTCTCTTCGACAGGACAAGCAATCCATGAGTGCCTTCTTCACCAGCAAGCGCATTTTTTGGAACGAGCTCCAGACCGTCTCTATCAATCCAAAATGTACCTGCAATGGCTGCACGTGCGACATCGCCAAGCAGACACGGGAAAAATTGGAGACGAAGAGGCTTTTTGATTTCTTGAGCTTGAAGTCGACCCATCCCTGGCCGAGGCGTATCAAATGGTTGCAGCAGAGGAGCACCAACGCCAGCTAACGGCCGCGCGATGCCCTGTTGTTGATGCAGCAGCCTTTCAAACGCGCAGCGACAAGGACGATGAGGACAAGCCCCGTTGTGAGCATTGCCGCAAGCACGGTCATACAAAAGACATGTGCTTCAGGTTGATCGGATATCCATCCGAACAAGGCAAGAGCCGAAAAGGGAAGCAGCAGGCTGAAGGGTCTCTTCGATCAGCTCCCGCCAGCGCGTCTCAAGTCAGCAGCGACGAGAGTCCTTTCCCGGGGCTGACAAGCGCCTAATTCGCCTACTTAAAGCAATTTTTGGGAGCTTCCACTGCCACTTTCGTGCCCCAGGATCCGACAGCTCATATGGCCGGTAATGACACTCGATCTTGTGAATGGCTTATTGATTCAGTATGTAACGAACATATTGTTCGTGATGCTACTTGGCTAGATAGTATTGATCGTTCAGGTGTTTACTCATCAGTTCGTATACCGAATGGGAAAAGTATTCCCATGGAGGGTATTGGCACATTGGTTTTGAATGATCATATTACTTTACGTTGTGTTCTACTTGTACTTGAGTTCAAATGCAATCTACTATCAGTGAGTAGGCTTACGCAGGATCATGGTGTGGCTTTGACCTTCATTAGTGGTATGTGTGTGATCCAGGACTCACGTTCCAGGACAGTGATTGGACTGAGGAGTCTCCGTGATGGTCTAATTTACTTCGAGAGGGTGCATCCAGTTTTTCCAGCTTCGCGGCGGTCTCCTGAGGTGTATGCAGCTACGGGCACCGAGACACACCAGCTTTGGCATCAGCGACTGGGACACCCTTCTGTGGAGAAGCTTTCTGTTTTACGTGCTGTTTTGGGTTCAAAGATTGTTAATTCTCCCCAGACTCATTGTGATTCATGTTGGCGAGCTAAACAGACTCGTACAGTTTTTCCTTCTAGCTCCATTATGACTCAGGGGTGTTTTGATTTGATTCATGTGGATATTTGGGGAGGTTATAAAACTCCGGCACTCGACGGGTCTCGGTTTTTCTTGACAGTGGTTGATGATTATAGCAGGGCCACCTGGGTTTATTTACTTAAACACAAGTCCGATGTTGAACGGTATTTGCTTATGTTTTGTCAGATGGTCATCACTCAGTTTCAACGGCAAGTTCGTCGTATTCAGGCTGATAACGGAATGAAGTTTCAAACTAATTCCTTATGTCGTTACTATGAGGAAAATGGGATGGTTCTTTAAACCTCGTGTGTTAATACACCTCAGCAGAACGGTGTTGTTGAGCGAAAGCATCGACATCTACTTGATACAGCACGAGCTCTCCGGTTTCATGCAGGCTTGTCGGTTCGGTTTTGGGGTGACTGCGTCCTCACTGCCACATACTTGATTAACCGCCTTCCTTCGTCGGTACTGGATAACAAGACCCCTTTCGAGATCCTTTTGGGCAAAGTACCCACCTACGATCATCTTCGATCGTTTGGATGCTTGGTTTATGCCAAGGACACTAGTTCCTCGCTGGATAAATTCGCTGAACGTGGCCGTCAAGGAGTTTTTGTGGGCTATCCTCACTCCCAGAAGGGATATCGCATTTATGACGTTGTTACTCGGCGAGTTTACACTTCTCGCGACGTCCATTTTGTCGAAACCTAGTTCCCTTTTCGTGTGGATTCATCACTACCCCTAGAACCTGCCGAGCCATCTTTTTCTCCATCATTACCTGTGCCTTTTGTCGAGGAACTCAGCCCGGTTGATCCTTTGGTTGCTGTCCGCGCTGAAATGGATGGGGATATTGATGAGGGTCTTGACGTGGGTGATGATAATTCCATGCATAATAATTCCATGTCTTCATCCCCACCACTTGACGTAGGTGATGATACTTCCATGCATGAGAATTTATCTCCACCACTTGCTACTACTCCTGTCAACGTGGCTTCTCCTGATGAGATGTCCACTGCCACCACTTCATCTCCTGCCGACTATCCACCCGTAGCTCCTCCCCTTCGTCGTGGTGATCGAAACCGTCGCCCGCCCTCACATCTTGGAATCTATGATGTGGACTTGCCTGGTCATTCTTCTTCGGCCTACCAATATCCCATCTCCAACCATGTTAGCTGCCACCGGTTCTCTCCTGAGCATAAAGCTTTCCTAGCCGCCACCACTCAGCTCACCGAACCCAAGAATTATCACTCTGCTGTTCGTTTTGCGTGCTGGCGTGAGGCGATGATCAAGGAGATACTGGCGTTGGAGGCCAATGGTACTTGGACCCTGGAGATTTTGCCACCCGGTAAGAAAGCCATCGATTCCAAATGGGTTTTTAAAATCAAATATAACCCGGATGGGTCAGTTGAACGCTACAAGGCCCGGCTTGTCGCTAAAGGTTTCACTCAGCTTGAGGGGGTTGATTTTCATGACACCTTCGCTCCTGTGGCCAAGCTCGTCACCGTCCGCACCCTCATTGTTGTTGCTGTCGCTCGTGGTTGGCAAATACATCATCTGGATGTTAATAATGCCTTTCTGCATGGTGACCTTGAGGAGGAGGTTTATATGAAGGTACCTTTGGGTTTTGCTGAAAAGGGTGATACTCGTGTTTACCGGCTGCGGAAGTCTCTTTACGGTCTTCGCCAGGCTTCTCGCAATTGGTATAATAAGTTTACTCTCGCCCTTCGGGAACGTGGTTTTGTCACATCTCGTGCCGATCACTCTCTCTTGATTCATCGCCAAGGCACTCGGTTTGTTGCTGCTCTCATTTATGTTGATGACGTGGTTCTCACCGGGAATGATCCAGCGTTTATCAGTGAGGTTAAGTCTTTTTTGGATGCTTGATTCAGCATCAAAGATCTTGGTTCTCTTAAGTATTTTTTGGGCATTGAAGTTGCTCGCTCTCCTGAGGGTGTTGTGCTTTCTCAACGCAAATATGCTTTGGATATCTTACATGATGCTGGTGCTACTGGTTCTCGTCCTAGTCGGTTCCCTATGGAACAAAATCATACGCTCACTCGCCCTAGTTCGTCCGAGACTGATGCGGTGGTTGATGTTTCTGCTTACCGGCGCCTGGTTGGTCGCCTCCTTTACCTCACTGTCACTCGGCCCGACATAGCATACGCTGTTAATGTTCTCAGCCAGTTTGTTCATTCTCCGGGTCCAGAACATGTTGCAGCCGCGCATCGGGTCCTTCGGTACATTAAGACGGCGCCGGGTCAGAGCCTCTTTTTTCCTGCTGATAGCTCACTCCAGCTTACTGCTTATTGTGATGCCGATTGGGGTGGTTGTCAATCCACTCGTCGGTCTACCACTGACTACTATATTCAGCTGGGTTCCTCGCCCATATCTTGGCGCACTAAGAAGCAACGTGTTGTTGCTCGGTCTTCTGCAGAAGCGGAGTATCGTGCTATGGCTAGCACCGTCAGTGAGGTTGTCTGGTTGCGTTTCCTCCTTACTGAGTTGGGTGCTCCTCAGTCTGGTCCCGGGCCTCTGTTTTGTGATAATCAGGCTGCCCTGCACATTGCCGCGAATCCGGTTTTTCATGAACGCACCAAACATGTTGAGATGGACTGTTATTTTGTTCGCGAGCGTGTGGTCACTAGTGGTCACTGAAAATTGGCTCCTCTTCTCAATTGGCGGATATTCTTACCAAGGCCTTAGGCGCTGATCAGTTTCATTTTCTCTTATCCAAACTTGGCATTCGTGACCTGCATACTTCAGCTTGAGGGGGCGTGTTGAATTGTAATTGGCGTTAGTATCTTGTTTAGGTACTTAATTGTTATTTTGCAGCATTCTCCTAATTACCCTAGATCACTTACGTAGAAGGGTATTAGTAGGCCTTATGGCGGCTGCCTTTGTAACCTAATAGAGACGGATTTCTATTCCGTTCTCCGATAGTGAAACCTCTCTCGAGCTCTGCTCACCGTGGACTAGTCCTGTCGATTGACGGGGAAACCACGTAAATCATCGTCTCATCTACTTTCCGCATTCATACAATTTTACAAATAGTATGATGTCAGCATAAGAAAATCATACAATCGATATACTAGATAGCATGTACACTAAAAACACAAAACAAACGATTCCCATTAACATCTGCAAATGTGTGTGTATAGGTAGGTTGAAACCTTGGACAAACTATAGAAAGAGTCCTAAAAAACACCATAAATAAGGACCACAAAGCTACGGTTCTGGTTCGATAGCTGATAAGACAGCTTTTTATTACGTCCCATTTATGCACTCAGAAAGACAGATAACTAAGGTGCGTGTGTAACTGTGGACTTGTTGGGAGGGTGGGCATCCTGTGTATAGATATAGTCCACATGAGCTTGGAGGGTTCTTCTTGCCAAGCATTCCTCTTCTCCAATCCCATCACAACTTCCCGATTCTCCCTTCCTAACCTTCAATATTCACAATATGAAAACAACTTTAACCTTTTTACGAACGAAACCTATGCTGTTAAGACACTAATCAGCAACATTTTCTTCAGATATGAATCGGCACAAACATTGCACAGCATATACCTGCAGAGTGGTGGGATTAGGGCGAGCTCCATGAGCAAGAAAGAAGAAGAAGAAGAAGATTAGAATTACGGCGATGGTGAAAAGGGTAACTAGCTTCATATGATCCTTGGACATTTTTCTGCTTTGATTTGAAAGCAATACTGAGGATTGAGAATAATACTGAAGTAAATGGAGGAGGGTTGCACACTGTTAGGTGACTGACTTGTGAGGCGGTGACGAGATTAATGGGGAAAACGATTATTATTATTATTAAGTCAAAGATTAAAATAACGCCTGTGTGGATTGTTAGACTTAGATCATCCACATTAATATTGCCTTTCCAATAGTAAGATGATATGATAAGATTTTTTCTAAATTTAATTGCATTAATAATTGCATATTTGTAATATTACGATATAATTGTATATGAAACCAAAATGATATAGTCTATATTTGTCCTGGCTTTTACAGAGTGCTTTTCAACGTCAAAAGCTGAAGCAGAGGCAAATATCTCTAAAAGCTCGGATTTTGAAAAGTCGAAAAGTGTTTTTTGTATAACATAAAAGCAGAAGTTTCAATTGGAGCTTCTGCGAAAAGCTGTTTTGAAAATACAAGATTATCCTTACCATATTTAATTTTATTTCAGAAAATATATTTTTATTTCATTTATATCATTTTAAAAAATAAAATAAATTATAAAATCATATTATTTAGTAGAAAAATCTAACAAAATCCATATTCACTACTTTTTATTGTTTATGATTTGTATTCATATTTTATATTATAAATATTTTATAGTCATTTTACATAACTTCTTATATTAATAAGCACTTTTTATAGTTTTTCGGCCAAACATTTAACTGATGTTTTTGAAAAGTATTTCTCTAAAAGCTCCAGTCAAAAGCTAGTTCTGCATATGTTGTCTGTTTTATAATAAACAAATTATTGTTGACATTTTCTTATGTGGTTTGCATCTTAAATTTCATCAAATGCAAGCTTGCATCTTTGCAAATGTCCTCTACATTGGTTCAATCCCCTTTGCAATTGCATATTGAGTGTTATGTAGGATTTGCAATTGATCAAATATCATTGAAATGAATGCTCTTACTCTGTTTTTTCAATGATTATTTTTTATGGTATAAAACATTGTAATGAAGCCCAGGGTGTTGCAACTCGCAAACTCCCTCTCAAAATTTCAACTGATATTTACAATGCATCATCAATGTCCTGTAATCAAGTCAACTATAAGTCTAACTATAGAGCTAACACTGTATACTCTCAACTCAAAAGGGTACAACTTCTAGCAAAAATGGATAGCTATTTGGTTATGGAAGCAATATTTACAGCTCCACATAACCTAGCATACCTTTCACGCCAAACAAAACTTATAGCCATAAGCCACAGTAATCATCCACCGGTAGCTTGATCACCCTGATTTGCCCAATGTTGCTCAGTGATAACTCTGCATTTATACATATTTTTCTCGACATTCATTGATCGTATGGCTTGGCATTTGATCGATTCTTGACCTATTTTACGCTAGATTGTGTTTGTTTTGTTATATTTCAGGTCCTAAAACGTGAATGAAGGTTCGGAAACGAGTTTGGGGATGATTGGACGAAGTTGGAGCATTCGACGAGGAGCAGAGGAGATTTACACGGGTTGGAATCCACTTCGCACAGTCGTGCGAGGTGAGGGTTCGAGGCATGCACAGAAGGACCGCAGGAGCTGCGCACGGGCCCCATCCAAACCCCATTGCTCCTTCCTAAGCTGGCCATTCAAACCAAGCCTTCTCCCATCTAATTCACCTCACAAGAATCAATCTTATAGTGGAAGCAGTCGCTGCAACTAGGGAATTGATCAACGGAGACCGCCTTCATTTTCACATGGAAAGGATTGACGGAGATTGCCAAGAGAGAGAGAACTTACAATGACGAAATTGTCGTGGGAGGAGGATAAGTCTCTAGGGGTGGCTGTTCTTGGGTTGGCAGGCAACAAATGAAAACGAAGGGGGCTGAGATGGGAAGGGAAAGAAAGGAATTACACAAAACTAATGCTAGGTGCAGCGGCGGAGGGTTGACCCCGAGGAAGAGAACGATAAAGGAAGAAGATGGGGAAGGAGAAGGTGGGCCCAGTCCTTTGCCTTTTTTATTTTTTTAAATTAACATATCATTAAATTAACGGTCTAGTCAGCGGTCTGTTTGCCACGTCATACAAAAACTGACGAAGTTAACAGAGACTGAGATCCACCTTTTGTCACTGTGATTTTCAAATGTAAATGTGATTTTCAGATTGGAATATATATACTCACCTTGTGAAGAAGAAAAAAAACCCCTCGTATGAGTAGAATGGCAAGGAAGAAGAGGGTATGGATTTATTTCTTGTATGTTTCTGGTGCGGGCGGAAAGGCTAGCTAGCTAGCTAATTGAGTGAAGTCCTAGTGCGGGAAAGGGGAACCCAAAACCATGATGAGGATGCGCCATTATTTCGAATCCATTATTAATCATTTTATTCTCCCAGTCCCACCTTTCGCTATTATAGAGTTTAGGGTTTTATGTTCCACTTATTGATTACAATTTATAAAATTGAGAATCATTCCACCATATCGCCACATTTCCGGGATATATAAAATGAGAGAGAACCAAGTCAATAAATAATACTTGGTTATGTACGTTCTATGGCACATCTGGATCTATAATTAGTTCTGCCAATTGGATTACGTGTGTTTTTTTACCAAACAAAGAAACGAAGTATGACCATAAAACAAACAAAAATTCCTAATTTATTTGATTCCGAAGATTAGTTCAATTCAAAAATTATCGATTACATCAATATTATTTTTTTATGGCTTATTCTATTTTATTTTAGTTTACATTGGAATAAAATGAATTGAAAATTCATTCATTTTAATATGAACTCGTCTATAGAATTCATTGTCAACTGAATTTCAATATTTGAAATGTGATATTCAAATATTTAAAACTAAATTGAATGGATTTCCCACCCAGTGTTTGGAATAGGTTTAGAAATGAATCAAATTAAAAGTTTCCAACTATACCCTTATTAATTTCCGGCATAAACATTATTTTTATAATTCATTAAAAACATATCTTCTAAAAAATGAAAGTGTCGAAGTTATCATCCAACCAATCTGACCAAGCAAAAAGCGAGAAATAAGTAGTAGCAGCGTTATAGCTTAGCAGGAGAATGAAAGTACGAGAGTCGGGCGAAAAGCACACAAAAGAGAACATAGCAGCAAAACGATGATTATATATTAGGATAACTAGTGGATGAGAGAGGAAGATTAGGCTCACAAATATGGAGTATTGAAGCCAAATATATATAAGGGTAATTACTTAATAATTGAGGATAGTTATGTCATATTATCATAATTAGTAAAATACTTGTGGAATTCATTTGGAAATTTCACCTCAATTTCTTAGAATTGCTAAAACTTGCCTCAGTTCCACATAATTCAAAATATTCCAAACACGGAAAAAATAATCTGAGAATGAATTTCTAAAAACTTATGACGTTCATTAATACCAAACAATATGTTAGATTTTCAAGTCGGGAATATCTATTGAATATCTTACTCTAAATAACTTTATGAATATATCTTTTTCTCCATTAAAAATCAATCTCAGCCATCAATAAATCTACTCTTCCATGGTACTTTAACCAATTATTTCTCAATCGTTTCCACTATTTTTTTCATAGAAAGGAAACATGAATTATGTTTATAAGATGATATTTATTTTAATATGTTTTGGAATAAAAAATATCTATGATCGTATCATGTCTTACTACACATTGCCTTGTAAAAAGGATGCATGGTGTTTGTATAAACTGCTTTATGATCCTTGTAAAAAGGATGAGAAATCTTTTGTTCACAAAATAATAGAAATTAAAATCATTGGGCAGATCACAATTAATATGTTTTTACCTCTTGAAACAAGTTTTAGAGTCCGATTAAAACAAAAATTTCAAACTAATTTTTATAAAATTCTATGTAAATTTACTCAAAATTATTTAGTATATTACTTTTATCGTTTTTTTATGAATGGGTAAGCTTTTATATCATCAAAAAACCAAACAAAACTTGTGGCAACAACCCTGCCAACTAAGTCTCAATTCCACTGTTTTGTTCCTACATCAAAACCAAACTTGCCTGAAGCAGTACAAAAGAAGGAAACCTATAAGTAAAAACCAAGAGTGAAAGCTAACTAGTCCCAGAAACTATCAACAAGAACAGCAGGGAACATCACTGAAATATCTTTCCTAATTCTCATAATCATATCATTAAAGCTTTTCTTTGAACCCCCCATGTTTCAAGTAACATCTTTCTCACCATATAGAGCTAATCATAGCCCTCCAAATCACCCTAGCAGCTTGAGCTCTCTCCTGCTTCCCTTTTAGATGTGAAATAGCCCACTGCAATTCAGATCCCCAGTAATCAGAAGGAACTCTAGGGAACACCTTAGCCAGCAACCCGACATACAATTCTTTATACACCACACATTCACCAAACAGATGTGCTCTTGTCTCCAAAACATAGGGGCAGAACACACATGAGAAAGGACCACTCCCTCCCCATCTGACCACCTTATCACAGGTAGTTATGTAGTTTTTAACAATCAACCAAACCAGAAATTTGTCTCTAGGGGGGGAGAGACCTTTCCAGACAAGAGAACACCAGGGAACCAATACCTCCTTAGGCCTGAAAGACTCCCATACCAGCTTGACTCTATACCTTTTCATAACTTTCTCATCCCATAGTACCTCACCATTTGCCAAAGACATCATTTGCCTGATTTTGTCCCTGATCTTCAGCAGCTTTAACCAGATCCAAGAACCCGCTTTTGACTGAAACGTCCAGAAATCATGATGCTTAAGCCTATACTCTCTCAGCCACGCCACCCATAAAGAACCCTGCTGTAGGAGGATAAGCCAAACATGTCTGATTATACACGCAAAGTTCCAATTCACCATATCCCGAAATCCCAGACCACCCTCATTCTTTGGAAGAGCAATAAAACGCCAAGCTGCAAGAGACTTCTTCCTCCCTTCTTCACTGACTCCCCATAAGAAATCACTACACAACTTTTCAATTTCCTTAATAACCCTCTTGGGCAGAATAAACACCGCCATCCAAAATTGAGTCAAGCTAGCAAGAACTGAAATGACAAGTTGTAACCTCCCTGCATAACTAAGGAACTTGGTTTTCCAACTATGAATCTTACCAATAATTTTATCTAATAAAGGCTTACATGACTTAATAGATAACTTGACATGGATAAGCGGCAAACCCAGATATCGAATAGGAAGAGAACCAAGTTTGTATCTTGCATTTTGAGCCATCTGATTTTGCCACTCAATGGAGAGACCTCTACAGAATAGTTCACATTTTTCAGGGTTAGATTTCAGACCAGAGATTCTTCGAAATTCCCCCAACACCCTCTGAATACATCAAATGAGTCAAACCCAACCTCTTACACATCGGATGGAATGACATTCTCCCTTCCCTAACTGCTTTCCCCATCAGACCAGTCAAAATTTCCATAGATATAGCAAACAGGTAAGGGGATAGAGGATCCTCTTGCCTCAACCCTTTACAAGCCGAGAAATATCCCAAAATACCCCCATTAAACCCCACACTCAACTTAGGGGTGGTCACACACATTACTATCCACCTCACAAAGAAATCAGGGAATTTCATTGCTCTTAACACAGTAATTAGAAAATCCCAGTCCATCGAATCAAAAGCCTTCATTATATCAACTTTAACAATACTTCTTTCAGAGATATCATTCCTTTGATACTTCTGAACTAACTAATGAGCCAAACATGTCTGGTTATTGCTGATAAGGGGAGGCAAAACTGCACTAAGACGGTTTGCTATAATCTTGGCAACACACTTATAAAGTGTGTTACAACAAGAAATAGGTCTAAACAGTATCGCTTCATTTTTTAGCGATAATAAAATTGGTAAAATAAAACCCTATATTTATAGAATAATTTAACCATACTATCTCAACAATCTTACCTAAAACTTGAGATGTAAGTATCACTCATTGTACAGAAAATTCAAAAAACTAAGCATTATGAAAAATACATGTTTTGTAACAATCTCAACTATACTATCGAAATACCCATCTCACCTCTCATTTCCATTCCCAATCCCAGCGGAGTAGGGGTGTTCAAACGGTTTGGTTACCATGGTAACCGTTTTAACCGGTACTATTTGGATAATTTGGTTTGGTTAATTTGGATAATTGGTTTGGTTTGGTTAAAGTTTTTAGCTTGTTTGGTTTCGGTGGTTTGGTTTGGTTTCAGACACTCCTAAACAGTAAAACCAAATTGACCAGTTAAGTAATTAGTCATATATAACATATATTATATACACATAATACTTTGCATAACCACTCAAGAGTTAACGTTCATCCCTTTTAGACTCATAAAATATAAAGCTCAATATTGCTCATATAGTGTATATTTGTATATATAAAGTCTAGACCACAACATATGGACGCCTAATTTAGATAAATTTCATACATTATGATGAATGAAAACTTGAAAGGAAGGTCATTTTCAGCCTATGATAATTGCTAAGAGACTAAGTCAATTTACACAAACACAACAATTCATTAACCATACCAATGTCATAATTTTTTGTTAGGTGATCAATACTTCTATACTAATCGTAAGATAATTGTCTTAGTTGCATGTATTTTTGTTAAGGGTCAACTATAACTACGTGTTGATTGTTATGTTTTATTCATTATATAAATTGTGAATTGTTACATTAACCGGAAAATTTTCATCGTCAATGATAATGTGATTTTATATTGGTTAATCTGGTTAACCAATTAACCAAACCGATTAAACTTTAGTTTGGTTAATTTGGTTGTTGTATTAGTTTGGACGGTTTGGTTTTGATATTGTATTTCATGGTTAACGGAATTTAGTCTTATTTGGTTTGGTTATAACCATGGCAAGGTTGTCAACCCGCGGGTTAACCCACTTTGACTCAGACCCAGTGAGAAAAACGGGTCGCACGCACCCGCCGGGTCGACTGCTACAAGGTACCGGGTTGGAGGTCAAATTGTGTCATTTTTTTCTTTGTTTTGCGAAATGCGCCTATTTTTCATATTTTTCTTTTCGCCTAACTCAATCTTTGGAATCCTAAGTTGAACATTTGAATATTAATTTTCACTATATGTTGAATCTAAGTACGAAATGTTATTTTGGTGTAATATTATATGTTATAACTCATATGTTAGATGGAATTTTATATAATTTATCAGGATAAGTACAATATAATGACGTTTTCCATATTTACGAGCTAAACCGGGCTAAAATGGGTGACCCATTAACCCTTGACTCACTAGCTCAATCGGATCCGAGTCAACCCGCGGGTTGACAACCTTGAACCATGGTAACCATTTGAACACCTCTATAACGGAGAATGGAGACCAGTTTGTTACGAGCGAGTGAGTTATTGCCTATTGGGCCTGCCAACTGGGGTCGGGTCGGGCGTGGCGGTCTGGCTGAGTTGAATTCTTCTAATTCTTTTTTTTTTTAATATAGAAAACCTGGTGAATTCTTCTAATTCAGAGAATAAGCAGTTGAATCCGCCGTGAAAAGGAAGGGCGGAAAGAAGTAAGAAAGCAAGAAAGAAAGCAGAGAGAGAGAGAGAGAGCTATCTCTCAACAACACAAATTGTGACAACCCGCCGCACCGATAGACAGACAGAGCAATGGAGTGGAGTGAGTAGAATCCACCCACCACCGCCCTCTTTCTTCCTTCCTTCCTTTTCTCTACAAAAACGCAAAACAGAAACCCCTCTCCCCTCTATCTTTCCTAATTCTCCCCCAGCTCGCTCGCTCGGGATCTCCGATCCCTAAAAAATCAAAAATGGCAGCGGTGACAACCTCCTCCGCCAACATTAACAACAACAACCCCTGCGGCGGCGGCTTCTTCAACTTTCGCTCCAATTCCACCGCCAGCAGAGGAGTCCGCCACCACCACTCCCACGCCGCCTCTTGCAGCAAGCTCGACGGCGTCGCCATGTGGCTCGTCAACGGCGTCGCCGCCGCCTTCTTCGCCTCCTTGGACAGCTGCTCCTGCATCCGGATCGCCACCGTCGACGACGATGCCGAAGACGCCAACGACGCCCCACTCATTCTCAACGACGCCAGCATCACCCCGCCGCCCAGGAGGAGGACCAGAGCCAAGAAGCAGGCCGCTATGTTGTATGCCGCTTTCTAACTAATTCATTTACCAAAACAAATTTCACTTTAAGAAAAGAAAAAAAATTTAATGTTTTTGTTTTACTTTTTGGGGATGATGATATATAGATGAGCAGAATTCTGGCGAAAAGATGAACAGAATTTCTGAAAAATGTTCCGTATAAATTAAGCTTTATCCGCCATGTAATTGTTAATTAATGGCGGTATTTACAATCTGAGATCTTCTGTCTAACTATACCCAAAGCACCAATCTTTTTCTTTTCTTCTTCATTTTCCTTGTTCTCTATTTCTATTATATTGTTGGTAGATTAAAATTTAAATGTGCGGCCTATATGGAATTATTCATGTATGGTCATGATACGATCATACGAGACGAACAGAAAGGGCAGAAACGTCGATGATTCGGATAGATCTAATTCTTTTTCCTGACATCAATTCCTAGATCTATATATATGTTGTTGTATATATGGGACATTGTTTTTATACAAAATATTTCAATCTAAATTAAGAAACATATGGATTTCATTCAAAAAAAAAATCTCAAGAATAAATAAAGATACAGAGAGAGAGAGAGAGAGCTATAGAATAGAGGTTGCTTAGTATCATCATATTTACATAGTTATCTTGGGGAAAAATAAATCTTGATGATACATTTCCATTACAGTTGAAGATAATTTATGTTCATTGTATTAGAGATATATAAATATTTTTCCTCTTTTTGTATTTATTTACTTCCACTCTCCTTTTCGGTTCCTACTCTTGTGGATAGTGGCTTGCATCTGTTGCAATGTCCAACTATTTTCTCTCCTTACTTCTGTATATTAAATCATGGAATTATCAATAGAACAACAACTCAGATTTCCACAATCTCTGAAACTCTACATGGTATCAGAGCTAGCAACGATCAGCTAGATCCATCTTCTCCTTTTTTTTCTCTTCCCCTGTTCTTCTGTTAATCATCATGACCGGTGGCTCAGCTATTTCCGACTCAAGCAAAGGATCCACAAGTTCAGAGATCCAAATCATTACCTTTAATCCAGCCGCCCAGCTTCCTCTGAAGTTCACCCCTTCGAACTTTGCCTCCTGGCGCTCACAGCTTGAAACTCTCCTCATGGGGCTTGATTTGATTGGCTACCTGGATGGAACCACAACCGCTCCACCTCAATCGATCACAATAGACGAGGCTTCTATGGCCAATCCTGCTTATCGCAACTGGTTCAGGCAAGATAAACTCATTCTTCATGCCATGAGATGCTCAATTGACGAATCCATTTACTCCTTTGTCTCGGCTGCGTCCACTGCTCGTGAAGCTTGGCTTACTCTGGAAAAGCTGTACGCTAGCAGCGCTCAATCGCGCGTCATTCATCTGAAAGGGAAGCTCGCAAAATCAATCAAGGGAGATCGAGATATCCTCACCTTCATCAATGATCTCAAATCCACTGCTGCTGAACTCGCTCTTATTGGTGAGCCTGTGAAAGACATTGATTTGATTGTTCACTGTCTTAGAGGTCTGAGCGAAGACTACCAGGCTTTCGCCGCCGCTGTTCGTTCACGAGGTCCTGGCCTCAGTCTTGAAGACCTGGTGGATTCGATGGTGGAGTTTGAGGCGGACATCAAGGCTCGTCCACAAATCACCGTGCCGACGGCGTTCTCCTCTCAAGGTCAGAAACAGGGAGGCTCCCCTCAGTCCCGACCTCACCGTGGCGGTGCTTCTTCCCAGCCCTATTTTGCTGGGTCCTCTCCCCGTGGGCCGCCCAGCCCATCTCGCCAACTCTTCTCCGGCCCAGCGTCTCCGCGTGAGAATTCCAGCCCACTGCCCCGTCGACCCAGGCAGGTCTGCCAGTATTGCGAAAAGCCTGGCCATACTGTGCACCAGTGCTTTCGCCTCTTTCCTCAAGCCCGCCAGGCTCATCTTCAGACTCGACAGGCCCAAGCGCATTACTCAAATGCTGGTTCTTCTATTCCACAATCCACAACCAGCCCATCCAATCCATGGCTAATGGATTCGGCTGCCTCTCACCATGTCACCGCAGATCTTGGAAATTTATCGCTATACTCCGATTATACAGGGCCTGATGAATTGGTTGTTGGGAATGGCTCAGGTTTGTGAATTAGCCATATTGGCTCTTCTCATCTCTCTACTGGATTGCACTCCCTATCATTACAGGATGTTTTACATGTTCCTTCCATTAAACAACATCTTATTTCTGTGGCTCAATTATGTCGTACTAACCCAGTGTCCGTGGAATTCTTTGCCACGCATTTTGTTGTTAAGGATCTTCGCACGGGGGCGCTGATGTTGAGAGGGGAAAAAGAGGTGATGTGTATGAGCTCCCGCCCACGACTGAACCTGTTTGCATGGCCCTTGTTACCACTCGCACGTCCACACAATCCTGGCATTCCAGACTCGGTCATCCATCTGCTCATTCCCTTCGCAGTTTGCTCCGCTCCCATTCCCTTCCAGTTTCCGCATCATCTTCTCTTAGTCATTGTGATGCTTGTCTTTCTAATAAATCCCATAAACTTCCCTTTGGTGTTTCCTCCCTTACCAGTACTAGACCATTTGATCTATTATATACTGATGTTTGGGGCCCTGCTCCTGTTACTTCTCTTGATGGATTTCGTTTTTACTTGATTATTATTGATCACTACACTCGCTATACATGGTACTATCCCCTCCGTCGTAAATCCGATGTTTCCCAAGTGTTTTCTGATTTTCGTACCATGGTTGCAAACTATTTCTCCACTACTATTCGCCGTCTCTATACTGATGGTGGTGGTGAATTCATTAAATTATGTCCTGATCTATCTATGCATGGTATAACTCACCTTCTCACTCCTCCTCATACACCGGAGCACAATGGTTTGGCTGAGCGTAAACATCGACATCCTGTCGAAACTGGTATTACTCTTCTTCATCACGCTAAACTTCCCTCCGTTTTTTGGTCCTATGCTTTCTCCATTGCGGTTTATTTGATTAATCGTATGCCCTCCTCTGCACTTCATGGCCAGATACCTTATACTCTTCTGTTCAACCAAATTCCTAACTATCGTAAGCTTCGTGTTTTTGGGTGTTTGTGTTACCCATGGCTTCGTCCTTATGCCCCAAATAAACTTGCCCCCGATCCCGTCCTTGCATTTTCCTCGGCTACTGTCCCCAAAGGAGTGCTTACAAATGCTTTGATTCACTCACTAATCGCCTATTTCTTTCTCGCCATGTGCATTTTGTTGAAGAAGCATTTCCAGGTTACTCCTCCCCAGCTGCTCCTGCCGTTCCCACTCCCGCTACTTGGCTATTCGATGCCACCCCACCCATCACCTATCTCCCAGGCGCTCGGCCCACACCACCTATGCTCAGCCCAGCCCCGCCTGGGCTCAATTCCTCCTCTCCATCGGCTCCTCTCAGCGCAGACTCCTCCTCAACATCGACTGGTTCTACCCCGGACACTGGGCCGTCATCTGGGCCTGCCACTACACCGACTAGGCCTCCCCCACCTCAGCCCGTGCAGCCTTCTCCTCTGGCCCGCTCCCACAGCATGACTACTCGGGCTCAACATGGGATCTTCAAGCCCAAACGGCTCTTATTGCTTCAGCGGGCTCCTCGTCTGCTTCCTCCTCACCACCACTGGAACCTACTTCTGTGAAAGAGGCACTGCTCTATCCCGAATGGTTCGCTCCCTCACTGCAGAAAACCAGGCTCTTCATGCCAATGAGACGTGGGATCTCGTGCCTCGCCTCCCCCATTACAATGTCCTGGGCAATAGGTGGGTCTATCGAGTAAAACGGGAACCCGATGGCTCTATTGCACGGTTCAAAACTCGCTTGGTTGCCAAAGGCTTTCATCAACGCCCCGGTATCGACTTCGGCGACACCTACAGTCCGGTCGTCAAACCAGTTACGGTGCGCAAGGTACTCACTCTCGCCCTATCTCACCAATGGTCCATTGCCCATTTCGATGTCAATAATGCCTTCTTGCAAGGCCCTTTGGAGGATGAGGTGTACATGCTCCAGCCCCCTGGCTTCAAAGATCCGAACCGCCCCAATCATGTCTGCCCCCTTAAACGCGCCATTTATGGGCTTCGGCAGACTCCTCGCGCTTGGTACAAAGCTCTCAGTTCATTCCTCCTTGATTTTGGCTTCACTAAGACGATCTCGGACTCATCCCTCTTTGTATACAAGCAAGATGATGCCCTGCTCTATTTTCTCGTCTATGTCGACGACCTGTTACTCACCGGCAATAATGATCAGCTGCTTGCCTCTTTTCGTGAGGCTCTATCCCACCGTTTCTCGTTGAAGTCCTTGGGGGATGTCTCCTATTTTTTTGGGTATTGAAGTCATACCAACTACTGATGGCTATCTGCTCTCCCAGCACAAATATATACATGATATTCTCGCTCGGTTTGATATGCTTGCGGCAGCCCCCACCCCGACTCCAATGGCTTCCACAGTAGCCTTATCTCTCACCGACGGCAGCCCTCCCTCTGAATCCACTCGGTTCCGTCAGATTATAGGGGCCCTACAATATCTAGTATACACGAGGCCCGATATCGCATTCTCCGTCAACAAACTCTCCCAATTCATGCACTCTCCTTCTACTTCCCATTAGCAGAGCTTAAAGCATTTACTGCACTATATCACTGGCACAATTCATCATGGTCTCATCATACATCGGTCGCCCCAGCCCCTAGCTCTCTCGGCCTTTGCGGACTCCGACTGAGCTGGCAACTTGGATGGTCGCTCCTCCACATCGGCTTACCTTCTCTACCTCGGCTCCACACTGGTCTCCTGGCGGTCGCAAAAACAGCGTACTATCGCTCGATCTAGTACAGAGGCCGAATACCGAGCCATAGCTCATGCTAGTGCAGAAATTGAGTGGCTACAAAATCTCCTATAGGAACTTCATCATCCTCTACAGGCTCCTCCCACACTATATTCTGACAATCTCGGTGCCACATATTTTTGCTCCAATCCAGTTTTTCACTTTCGTATGAAGCATCTGGCATTGGACTACCACTTTGTCCGTCAACTAGTCCAGGACGGTCGCCTAGTGATTCGCTACATTCCCACCGCTCACCAGTTGGCCGACGTCCTCACCAAGCCCCTTCCCGCGGCTCGATTTCTTCTTCTACGGTCCAAGATCGATGTTGTTGACACAACGTCCGTCTTGCGGGGGCGTATTAGAGATATATAAATATTTTTCTTCTTTTTGTATTTATTTACTTCCACTCTCCTTTTCGGTTCCTACTCTTGTGGATAGTGGCTTGCATCTGTTGCAACGTCAAGCTATTTTCTCTCCTTACTTCTGTATATTAAATCATGGAATTATCAATGAGAACAACAACTCAGATTTCCACAATCTCTGAAACTCTACACATTTTTGCAGTGGCAGAGGCAGCATTTTAAACCACCCCTGTTCTCGGTGGCGGACCCAGGAATTTTACTTAGGAGTGTCATCTTTTAAAAAATAAATTAAATAAAAATAAAAATTTATAATTATTAAATAAGAAAATACATGACTCTTACAAGTTAAAAAATGTCTCGTATAAGTTAAAAAATGTTTGTGATGTGTTTTCATATTAGGAAATAATTGTAGAATATATTTGGTGTCTACACTGCACAAGAAACATTTCTTTGTATATCTACTAGACAATTATTCATCAACTGATCGCATATTCGATTTCTAAATTTGTTCTTGATATAACCCAAAGTTGAAAAAACTCTTTCAACACGTGTCGTGCAACCATGAAATCAATACAAATTAAGGCTAGCTTGAAATTAGTTTAATTGTTAGGTTTTGAAAAATATTAGAGATAGGGAATAACATTTTACTATTACACGGTGTTTAAAATCAAACAACAAAGTAGCCTAATGGAAATTATGTTTATTAATAATAATCGTGTCCTGGGTTTGAGTTACCAAAACTACCACTTATATTCTCATACACAATCTAAAAATGCGAGTAGGATAATTATTTTTTCAATTTCAGGGTTGTCCCTCAATACAATTATAATTTTTTTGTCCATACGTAAATTACCACCGGGGGTTGAAAAACCGCTTCCCAAAATTTAGGGGTGTCCCGGGACACCTTTAAAGTGCCCTGGGTCCGCCCCTGCCTGTCCTCTTTTCATAACTTAAATATATAAGTATCTAATAAAATAATTATTTAATAAAAAATAAGTATATACAAATATTCATTCATAAATTAAAAATAACCGATTATACTATCATATTTTTCAGAAACAACTACGAAGGAATTTCATATAGTGAAAGAAGCTGAAGCGCAAAAACATTCGTTGTCTACGCTATTATATAAGTCTCTTTCAATGTATCTTACTAAACAAGTATTAGCAAACTGGTCGCCAAATCGACTTAGAAACTTGCTCTTAATATAACTCAAAGCTGAAAATGCTCTTTTTACACTTGTAGGAGTAATTGGTAGATCAAAACTAGTGGAATTGCTATTGTCGCTAGACAATTTCAGGGTTGTTGGGGAAAGATCGAATAGGCATAAGGAGAAAAGAGACCCGATTAGTTCTTTATTGCAATTGGAATTTCGTTTATTGTATAATAAATTAATTTTATGTCAATTTTGGACAAGTAATGAGTTGTGTTGTAGTGACAAAATACTCTAATACTACCTATACGTGTTGTGTTCCATCACCAATATAAATATATATGGAGTATTTTTGTTCCACCGAAATTTACCACTGTCTCGGGACAAGGGCAAAAGGCCCTGCCTCCGCCACTGCATTGTTGGGAATATGGAGGCAAAGTTGGGAACTCAGGCTATTCCCAACTTGATAAGCATTTTATCAATTAGGCAAAAATCATGGATATCGCCTGTACAAATTTTATTCAATTGGCTAAGGTAAAATGAAAAATTCGAATGAATTTTATTAGGTATGTGTAAGAATTCAATCTAAATATTCGGGATATATATAAATGTTAACATGTCTGTTGGAGTTATTATATCAGTTACTCTGAATTTAATCGGATATTAACATAATTTGATTTTCTGCCCAAATACCTATACATAATTCCGTGGGTTTATGCCCTATATTGTGTTCATATCACTTTTTATCCCAAATCATGGTTGCAATTTCTATATATATTTTTATTAATATCAAATGACACCTTGTTAAGTGGCCTGCTTTTTATATGATTTTTTTTATTTGTTGGGCATCATCATTATGAATGAATTGATGCTAGCTGTTGTAATTATGATGTGGGATTAGTGATCTTAATCTATCATCGTGTCCGGTGGAAATCTTTCTCCTTTTCTACTTTATTTCTCACCTCTCTCTCTCATATTCTGAACACTTTTTCTTACAACCATTCTGAACACTTCTTCACGGAAGTGGCGGATTAAAAAAAATTAAATAGGGTGTCCTCTTAAAAAAAAATTAATTAATTAAAATTAAAAATTACAAATTAAATCAAATAATTATTAAATATGAAAATATTCAACTAGTAAAAGTTAGAATAAAAGTTTAAACATGTTCCGTACTATGAAAGAATGGTAAAATACATTCGGTGTATACACTGCTCAACAAATCTCTCGTGACATATCCTATTAGACAAGGGTCACCCATAATTGGGTTTAATCATTAGGTTTTGAAAATAATTGAGAATAAGAATAGCCTTTTACTATTATATTTTGATCTAAAACATAACTACAAATGAGTTGTAGTCTAATTGAAACTATATTTACTAATAGTAACAGTGTTCCCAAGTTCAAATCACATAGACCCTATCACTTAAATATTATTTGTACCCATATGCAGAATACTATAGGAGGTTGAATAATCATTTTCCATATTTTAAGGGTGTTCCACTATCACTATTTTATATTTACCCATACACAAACTACTATCAAAGATTGGATAATCATTTTTCCAAATTTTAGGATGTTCCGGGACACCTCTAAACCTCCATGTATCCACCCTGCTTCACGGCAACGGAATCCAAAGTTTTGACAATAATTAAAAAGAAAGCACAACAACATACAGTACTGGATATATAATCTTTGCACATTTGTGTTATTAATTAAAGTGAGCAAGTGACGTTGGAGGGGTTACGGTGATTACTACAAAATAGTAATCACCGTGGTTATGATAAATAAATTGTATTAATTAATTTTTGTTAATAAATTACATTTTAGGTAGTTACAAGAATCTATTAATTACAATTTTCTCTCTTTCTCTCACTTCCATAATTTCCACTAAGATCCCCTTTCCTTATTTTTCTCAATCTTTCTGCAAAAGAAAAAAAACACGAAATCACTACCAATCTATTAGACAACCACTACCACTTTGAAAAATATCAATACCATTGCAAAAATAAATTTATACAATTACACAAAAACTACCAATATAAACAATCTACCAATATAAATATATATCATTTCACAAAAAATCAATACCATTGCAGATTTAATCAATACCAATGCGACAAAAACATAATTATATCATTTCATAAAACAAAATAAATAAAACAGTACAAAAACAAAACTATACCAAAGCAATTGAAAGAGTACCATTCCATTTGGGCTTTCTTCTTCTGATTATGACGTCGGTAGAGTAGCCTTTCCCGCCATCCCGAAAGGCCAACAGAGAGAGAGAGAGAGAGAGAGAGAGAGAGAGAGAGAGAGAGAGAGAGAGAGAGAGAGAGAGAGAGAGAGAGAGAGAGAGAGAGACTACTTGGCCTCCAATTTGGCCGATCTTAGCGGTGGGTACAACGGCCAAACACGGCGGGGACAGCGGCGTAGCCCGGCAGGGAGAGGGAGGGAGGTGGGAGTCGAGAGAGAGGAGTTGGCCGATCTTAGCGGTGGAGGCAAGGGCAGAGGCGACGGGGATGGCGGCGTAACCTGGCAGGGGAGGGAGGGAGGTGGCACGCGAGAGAGATGGAGAATAGGCATGTATTAGGGTTTTGATAAAATATATAAAAATTAATTTTGTTAAGGATAGTAATCAGATGTGATAAAATTTTTGTTTCCAAAACTATCCTTAATCTAATCTTGATTGTCAATTTAAAAATAAGATAAAATAAAGCTAATGAAGGTTGTAGATTTTGGTAGCCACAATGACTACTAAAAAAATAGTAATCACCCTAACTCATCCCAAGTGATGGGCAATGCTCGTCTGTCCAACCTCGCTTACCTTTTTGTCCACCCTGCCTCCTTTGCGGGATGTTACCTTTGAATTGGGATCTTCACATTCGGCTTCTTTGTGTTCTTTCTTTCACCAATCCTTTCCCGTTGTTAATCCCCAAATGGCGAAACTATTATCCACAGACTAGAAAATCTGGACCGGCGATATTGAATCAGAATAGTAATCGATCTGTATTCTTGCACGAATGAAAGTGTATAAAGCTCGTTATAAAGTCTAATAATTCTTTTTTTTTTTACGAATAAAGTCTAATAATTCTCTGAAACTCGAGCATGCACATCAACCATCTCGAAACATAGAATTCTAAATGGAACGAACAAATGCTCGGTATATAAATTTGTGAAAGTTTTTCACTATATAATTTTGAACTAAAAATCTTAAATTATCAACAACAATTATATTCCAAATTTGCATTACATAAAGGGTTTTGTATGTATGTTATTTTTACATAAAATTTTAATCAAATGTGATACTTTTCATAATTAAATCAAATGTGATTCTTTTCATAACTTAAAATGTGATATTTTTACATAATAGTTTAATCAAATAAGATGTAGTCTATAAATTAATTTTATTATTAGACCACACATTACGAAAGATTACGTAAAATCCTTCTATAACGGTAATTAAAATATAATTTGTAAACTAAAAAGACTGAAGGGTTGATTATACCTTATGCATCAATTAAACAGACATGTTACATAGCCTTTTGTGATAATTATGAAATTACATAAAGATTATAGAAGTGTAAGTCTTACTTGAACTATTTTGTAAATAATTTTATTTCACTAAATCAATAAATGAGTGAATGAAATTTTAATATAAAAAAGCTTTTGCTGCAAAGGGCGGATAAAAAATCTAAATTAGCCCAAAATGTTATTTTGGTGCTAACACTAATCGGAATCAATAGGAAAAGAAAAATTAATAGGAAAACAACACCAAATTTGTGTTAGTTCTATATTTTAAATAATTTTTATTTATAATTTTCAATTTCTGATCCCCAAAATCTAGTTGAACCAAAGTAACGAAATTAAGCAATGTATACTAGAAAACTACAATCCATACCTTAAACACAATAATTCATGCTAGAAATACAATAATGCATATCGTAAACACTAGAATGCATCCCATAAATCTCCAAAAGCATAAAAAAAATAATAGAATTTAGACAAGAAATATTCTGGATACGCTTTTTGTGCTAGTGTGATAATAACACTCGGCATCAAATAACGGGAACGGATCAGGTCAGTAACTCTATGGTCAGTAACCATGAGTAACCTTTCCACATCAGCATCACATTAGTACTCTTTCTCTCCTGAATTTTT